CTTCTTGATCTCAGCAACACACTCCTCCAACAGATGAGTCCCACCCCACCAAGAAATTAAATGATAATCACTGCCGTGTTTTTTTACCTTCGCTTCTGTCAACAGAATTAATGTATTTTCTCCTGCTACGTCTTAGTTTTAACACATTCAAGCATTCACAGACAACAAGCAGAGGCCCCTCGCTATTTTCTTTGCTTTGGAGGCAAACACAAGTGCTGTCTACGAATATTCTGGATACTCACATCAGCATACGAATTCGAATTTCAACCGTCCTGACGTGAGTCAGTATTAACCCACACCTATTCGAAGACACTAGTACTTCTGGACATATCGGGACACTCACTCCTACATCTTTGGCCGATATGTACATCTAATAACATTTAAGAAAAACAACACCTTCGCCCAAAAATGGAAAAACAAACGTAATGAAACATCACCAAAAAACTACAGAAATCATAATTGAGTTTTAAGTTCTTAGATATATTTTACACCTGATGATGGTTTTATAAAAACCGAAACATGTTGTGTAAATGTTCCGAAATGTAAATCGATCAATCGATATGGAACATGAATGATATTTTATTATCTTAATTATAAGAAATTTTAAATAAAAAATTATATTGTGATCAGACGGATTAAAATAAATAATTGTGTCTTCTCAAATCCCTCGAGCGAATAACTCACTAAATGTATCCTTTCCGATTCACCCTGTGTAATCGGCTTACTACCCCATTTGACATCTATAACTGACTCGAAGTTAAAGTAGATAAACCAGATATATTATAAATTATTCGACAGAATTCGCACAGTCCGAATTTTGGCCAGGAGACATACAGCATCTTCCGAGGTTCATGGTTTTCTGGGCTTCCTCTAGACCTGGAATGGACAACCTCCGTTTCGCCATCGCATATCATCCGGAGTTTTACAAATGCAAGACCTACGCAAAGCATAACAATTCTGGCGTCCTCGCCTCATCCTAACTTTACAGCCTGTTACTGTAGACTGATCTGAACTAAAACTGGAATGTGTTGACAAACTGAAGAAACACTCCACAATAGCAAAAACAAAAATTCGTTCTGACGTTCTACAGCCGTTGCATGCGGACGGGCAGACATGGCTAAACGAACAGGTGCATTTTTGCAACTTCTGGTTGCTGAGGCACCTAACGAGAGAAAGAAACTGCTGTATAAAGTGAATCACTTAACGTTAAATATATTCTATAATTGATACAGCGTCATGATCTAGAGGCATATAAGGTTCACTGCACCAGTGCCAGCCAAGTAGCCAGACGTCTTTCTTTTTATAGAGACCTTGAACTTTCTTCACTGTGATTCATAACATTCTGACCTGCATTAACATTTCACGGGAATCTCCCAACAGAACGAGTTGCCACCTGTAGTTGGATTGGGGAATGAAGTATCATTCGTCTGAATCATGGGGGTCGGGGCCCTCAGTGTTTCGGAAGACTGGTCCCAGAGCCTTGAAAAACTTTTGTCATTACAGAACTGTTAGTAAACGGATGGAGTTGGCCCAGGATCATAGCCGATGGCGGGCTTTGTTGTTGTCGGTGTTGGACCTGCAGGTTTTGCTACCACGAAGATACTGACAGTTACGAGGCGCGTCCCAAAAGTAAGTTTCCCACTCGTCCCACAGCTAGCAAACCTTATATTGAGCGAAGCGACTGTGCGTACGTCGGACAGCGAGTCTCCTGCAGGAGTTCAGCTGGGAGGTGTTTGATCATTCACCCTACAGCCCGGACCTCGCTCCCAGTCATTTCCATCTTTTCCTACACCTCAAGAAATTCCTGTCTGGTCAGCGTCAGCGTTTTGAGAATGACAGAGAGGCGGAGATGGTTGTCACACAGTGGTTCCAATCCCAGGCGGCAGACTTCTACGACACAGGTATTCAAAAGTTGGTCCTACGGTATGACAAATGTCTCAATTCCGGTGGCGAATATGTTGAAAAATAGCTGGACACTTGCTGTATCTGTTGCAATAAATATTTCCATGAAATTGTGTTTTGTTTCTTTAAACGGCCCCAGGGAAACTTACTTTGTAGACCAGCCTCGTACTTGGAGAACGTTTTTTCTCTCCCAATTTGTGATTTTCTTCTAAGTTCATCTACTGACCTTTCCGGTCTCCATAAAATTGCTATGAATCCAGTTTTTGAAACATTGTGATTATTTCAACCCATGATTTTGTAGCCTAGCCAGACAGACACGCGCCTCGTAGCATAAAGATCCTACTCTATGATTACAAATTGTGAGACTCCCACTGACGAGGAACAAGGACGCCAAGGCGAGCCACAATCGCCTCCTGCCAGATATTTACCCATTCGCCATTCATTATCACATCCGCCTCCTATAATAACATGTCACTATTCTCCATATAAGCGCAAACAACCAAAGAATCTGACATCAGTCATACAACCTATGGATCAATAATCGATCATCCTAGTTATCGTAAGATACGAATTGTTGGCATCAAGTCTCGCGGTAAACAGCAAATAATAAAACACGTGTTAAAAGTAAAAAATGCACAGCCACAAGCGAAAGCATCAAGTGGTCAATCAACGGTCAACAGTTTTCATTTCTATCAGTAGAACCACGTGTTCTGTCTCTCTTAAACACGATGACTGGTTAGAATTATTGTTTAATTCTAACGGTCCTTCGAAGAATGAAAATGAAAAACAAAACTTTACAAAGATCAATACATTTAATTAATTTACCAACTGCGACCGATTTAAGAAAGGCAGTTCACGGTGCTAATTGTATGCACAGATAGAACCAAATTTCCAATGAACAACTGTACTTATTTTTAATTACACCTTAAGTTCTCACGGCGGTGAAGATGTCGATGTTTGCATTATGGATTGAAACTCTGCGTGAACCTGTAGGTAGATACCAACGTTGCGGAGGAGCATACTGTCTCCATCTTCAGGCGTTACAACCATAAAAGAAACAACAATTCTATTGTTTCAAACAAAATTTCAGTAGCATAAATATTCTTGTTTGCCGTATTTAAAATAACGTAAGTTCATTATTAAATATAAACTGCAATTATTGTGCTCACCATTAAATTCAGATGTGGCTTGAATTTGATTAACGTGACGAGTATCGGGTATGTGGCCATGTGCTATTTCAAGACAGGCTGAAATAACTGTAGGCCACGCTATTAAATAAATATTCAACCTCGAATCTGTTACCACAGAAGTGAGTGGTCCTGGTACAATACGATATGCAGTACTGTTTCCGGTGTTTTTAGTGCATGACCGTGTATGTTATAAGCGTCACAGAACTTATTATATTAGACGGACGTAAAATTTGTGAAAACCGTGGATAAAAACGTAACAACCTCTGCAACCCAGTCACTGAACGCCTGATGGAACACAACCGGCGCAAACAAGTTGCACTGTTTCTTGAAATAGGTTCATCACACCAGACGGAGTTTTATAACATCAAGTCACTATAAGACATGTTTGAGGGCGAGTACGGATGGGACTGAAATTGTTTTTTTATCGGAAAACTTCCTATAATCAAACTTCAGAACGCGGAAATAGAAAGGAAAACAACAGACGGTCTACTTGAAAACTTATTGTATTTTGAAAATAATTTTGTTCCGTTCATGGAATTTATTTTCGAAGGAACGCCCACTCATTCCTACTGAAAATGTAAATTAATTGACTCCAGCCGCGGACAAAAGAAAGGCAGAAATCATTTTGTGCACCAAAGAACAAAGTGGAAGGAAGGAAGAAAGAAAGAAAGAATAAAAATATGTCGTATTTTGCAAGAGGACACCTTCCCATGCGGTTCTGAACATAACCACTGTTCAATATTTTACATAAACTGTCTTATCTTCTGCTACAAGCAGGTTTTTCTCTATTGTTTTATTCAGATCCAAAATTTTGCTTAAATATCTATCGGTCCAGTGGACATACATCCAGGCCTTAAGTTACTCGTGACTGCCTAAATATGCTACTGAACACACAAAAAGGGACAAATCTATGCTTACAAGTGTGTTTAAATTTTCCTATATTCCAGAGTTTGGTTTGTTTAAATGTCCACAAGACCTGATGGAAAATTGACAGGAAACACGGGAAGAAAAATTACACGTTATTCTTTAACTTCGCAGAACTTGCGGTAATTTATTAAATAAGGCTTTAACTACATTAGTGTATATGCAATTTGCAATTCAATATACCCATTCAGTAATGAAAGGTCCAATGACGTAAGAGACCGGTATTTCGTGTTGACTGTACACACGACCGTCCCCCAAGATGCAGGCGTAGCAAAAATGCGGCCAGCGGGTCAGAGTCAGTCACACTGAACTAAAAATGGAAAATTCTGAGGCTGAATCTTAAAGCGAAATTTCAGACGTTTCCTTCCGCCATCTAAATTACTTTCGAATTACATTAAAATAGGACACGGTCGTATCTCAGCTAATCCTCGCGTATAATCAATTCCGGTGAGAGAATGTCTGACGCCTTGAAACTTCACACAGCTTCGCTGGTACAGAGGTTGTTGACATTCTTCCTTTCTATTCACGAAGCGCCCTGTTGGAATTTCGACGATTTGTTACTCTATAAATATTTTGAGAGATATTACCGCATCAGCTTGTTCGTAACCAATCTACCATAACGATATCACATAGTCTCTGAAGTCGACACAGCATCGCTGAGAAACACAACGACTGCTTCTTCTCAGTTACGCTATTAAATATCACAAGAGATATTACAGCCTCGCAAAACCGTGGGACGTTAAGCCAAAGACACAATACAAAATCATCGTCAAATGTTTGCACTGCTTAAGCCATGTATTAAGAAACTTAATTAGGTATTAGGATGTGTACAAATATTATGGCAGTTCAGCTTCCCACAATACTGGGAAGTAAGAACAATACTCAGTCACGTGTACCAAGCGACTGGGTAGACTTGTAATCAGTTTCCACCCATAATATCACTGAACGTCACGTATCCAGTATTTTTTCATACGCGCAACTTACGCAAAACGTCGATTGTAGTTTTCTGGGACGCCACGTCGTGTGAACTTGTAGGTAAACAACATATCGGAGGAGCAGGCTTAAGCCCTGAATAAAGATGCAGCATGTTCCTTCGAAGCGTTGGTAACTTCTCTATCTAGAGGCCGCATGGCGATGAATGGTGAATTCGGAAGGGTTTGTAAGAATACGGTACAGCCAATCAGATGATATTCTTCCAGTATCAATCTGTTGGGACTGAGGAATCATTAACATGAAAGTCACTCAAAATATTTGGTTCCTACAGCACCCTTAACAAATATTATTTGCCATTCCCGCTTGGTCCAGTCAAGGTCATTCGCCCTCCATGTCAATACGGACTGCGTACATTGTTCGTAAAGGCAAGAGAAACAAATTGTTTTAATTATTCTAAACTGCTATAAAACAAGCATAAATTAAAAGTAACTAGAATTTTAGAACCGTCAACGATCCATGTACACAATAACAGTAGAATAGCGAGATTAAATAAGCAAGTTTTCTCCAAAATGTGTTCATATTATTATTTTATGATTTTTTTGTCTCAACTTTCACATTTTCCTGGAGGGAGTAACATAATAATTCAATTCTTTATTTACTAATAAATAAATAAATGTAACTATATTAATATTCCCTCCAGTAAAATATAAAAGCTGACACATTCATATGAACGCCACAACCTTTCAGAAGATTAGACCTACAGATGAACATCGGAAAGACAATTAGATTGCATAATTTGGTGAACTCTAAAACACACGAGACGGATGTAATATTAAGATAAAATAAAAGTTCCGCAGATAACGACTTATGAAACTACTGATACCATCAAGACAGGTCAGCGACCAAAATATTTACCGACAGAAGCCATGTACTTCTAACTGATTTTTCTGTCCAAGTTTTGTATTGTACGAGACAAGATTCAATCACGACCAAACTGGTTCAATCTGCGCACGGACGTAGACGACGTACCGAAGAAGGGCAGTAGGCAATGTCAAATGCAAAGAAATGCGTGAACAGCTACTGAATTCTTTCGAGGTTGACAACCCGCCACCTCACGGAAATTAAACGTTAATGAATATCACTTAAATTTCGTATAAAAACAGCCCACTCTGATCATAAACAATGCTCCTCTGCATCTGCAAAACGAAGGTAAATTACCGAATGTTCCAGCCTTGTGGTTATCAATCCTGCTTCGTGTTCAGGAGGTCCCAGGTTCAATTTCGGCTCGGAAACTGACTATCCCGACAGGTTTTTCACAAATCCTTTGAAGCTCGGTAATAAGAATTAACATTTCAGTCCGTAATTATCCATTTCATTATTTCTTTATATATATACGAAGGGCATTCACAAAGTAAGGGAAAAATTGGAATAGTTTCGTTGCGACTGGCAAACAGTCTGCAGCTCATCACATGCTGCGAGTGTGGTTCAGTTGTAGTCTGTGTCATATGAGCATGGCGTTATTTGCACCAAGGACAAGTTTACACGCCAGTGAGTTTCTTGGTGTCCGGAGGAACGAAAGGGCCGACATCCGTCGAAAATTCGCTGCCAAGTGTGGGCAGAACCGAGAAAATCATGGAGAATGCGCAAGCAATAATTCTTGGAAACTGCAGTGTAACCACTGCGGAAATTTTTACAAGACTGGGCATTAATGTTGCTCATCCTTGGTTCAAACCTCCAGAGTATCAACCATCTCTTGGCCACACTCGGCAAATTCATAACAAGGACCTGTGACACATTCTTTACAGATTACGGAATCCAACGTCACCCACGAGCTGAAATTTCAACTTGAAGGTTCTATAACGAACCGAAAAGTAGACAGTTACCACTAAGGCCAATCGGAATAATGAAAAAACACAATTGACCTTGGGGACGAAACGTGACGTACAGATCCGAAGCCGCTCTTTGTAATTTATTCCCTTCCGGTAAATCATCATTCTGAAGAGAGTATAAAAGGACCAACCACAAACCACTTGCCATGCGTTTCGGACGTAGTTCATTCAAATCTCAACTGTGCTTTCCTACAGAAAAAATGTCGTGATATTGCCTTGAAACAGGCCACAAACTGTTGCGTTTACACTCCTTCCTCACGATTTCAATGCGTTACGAACTTGGACTAGGTAAGACAGAGATTTACATAGAAAAAACACTGAAAAGATGCACCTTTTAATAAAATTTGAAGGCTCATCACATGACGTCAAGTACTAGTACCTTTATCAGAACAAGTTTAATCATCCACTTCGTCACACCTGATTACAATGACATTGGAAGATGATTACATTGGCACTTACTGTAATCAACATCAATTCCGTTTTTACATTTTTTATATGTGCTGTGTCATTAAGAGTGCAGAATGTTTGCATTTCGACTGTAAATATTATCGGCATTTTAAGAAAAGAACACTATAAAAATTCCTCACGTGGGATTATCTAAGATAGTAACACCAAGAGAGCACATGTAAAAGATACTACATTACAGCATACTAGACATGTTTTATCGATTAAATGACAATCGTCTAATATCGTAATTGCTTCTGCCTTTTAATTTCTACCCTGTGGTTTTATTTCAGTAACAGCTTCGGTTTCAGAGAAGATGTGTCGTACAGGGAAATCACAAAAGTACGCTAGTAGCCCTATCGTTAAATAATCGCTCAGCCAGCCAAGGCATTTCCTACCTTTTATTAAATTCATCCATAGCAGGATGAATCCCTTACATCATATTTAAGATCAATTTTAATATTATTATATCTTTTCCTATTTCTCTCAAGTTATCTCTTACCTTGAGGTTCTTCGACCAAAATTGTGTACGTTCTCACAACTTTCATGCATGCTACATTCCCCGTCCGTCTCACTGTCCTTCATTTAATTACCCTACTAACGTCCTTCCACATCGACCTGTAAACTATTTATCTGACGACCCTTCCGATTACTATCGAGTGTCGTCACTGCTGGCCAGCGCAATCCGTCGCGACAGATCACTTTCTTGGAAGAAAAATTTCCCGAGATAATCCATGATTTTGTGCCCTGATCACTGTATCTCTGAAATTATCAACATAGCATCACTTATTTATTTATTTATTGCGTGTTCTGTCTGACGACAGGTCCATATGAACAGGATCCTTCCATCCTTTTCTCGGACTGGGACCTGTTCATATACGTTCTTGGCAGATGATCCAGAAGTGGTTTGACATTGC